AATTAAAAAATTATGATAAAATAACAAATAATTTTCCAGGTGGATTACATCAATTTGTTCGTATTGTATCATTATATGATGAACATTCTTTTGAACATGAATTTTTTCTTCGAATTTCTCAATCATTTCCATATATGGAAAAGTTAACTGTAATTAATCGAACACAACAAATTAATAAACAATGTAGAAAATCAAAAAATCAAAATCAAAAATTTTCAATTATTAAATATCCTAATCTTATCGAACTTGACCTTCATCGAACTCACAAAGATTATCATAGACAATTTTTATTTGATATTATAACATGCTTACCAGATAATGGTTATGTTTGTATGGATTATCGACTAACGAAAAAAGTAACACATAATTTCAGAAGAAATATTACACGAAATAATTGTTCGAAAATAGGCAACGTATTTTTTTATTATAAATCAAAATTTCCTGAACATTTAAAAGACTATTTTCCACGTGCACGTATAGCTTGATTACTTATCATTTCATTATTTAATAAAGTATGAACAATAGCAGACTGATTTACATATAGAAATGGAAATTCAGAATAGATTTCAAAAAGTATATACTACTAAAATTTAAATTGTGTATATATCTTAGAAGAATAAACAAAGTACAATCGAATCAGTTCTAATCAATGAGAATTGTGTTGATAAAACTAAGGGCACTACTGGCTCGATTCTTTTCTAATTGATAAAATTGAAAATATAATTCGACTTTAAATAGATTACTGTACTTAAGAAATCTATTTTTCTTAAGAATCCGAATGAAAGTTTTTTTTTTAACTCAAACGCAAAATACTATTTTTTTCAATGGAGTCTATTTATGATCGTCTCTCTCGGCATTCAAGTTTATTTCACCGTGCTGAAATTTTTATGACAAATGCTTAGAGCTATTCTCTATAAACAAAATCAAACGTATTTGCTCTCGGCCTTCGTATACAAATTCATTGAACCCTGAACATCAACATCTCGATGTTCGAATCCAATACTTTAACGCATTTCTCCATAAAAAAAATCTATCCACAATAATAATAACTTCTTGCATTCAAAAATAAGTTTGCTGAAAACAAAAAAAAAGATTATTTTCGATGGAAAATTCTTGAGACAAATCTTTACTCTAAACTTTTATTTGAACATATCATCAAACAATACATTGTTGAATTCAGTTTTTCATGAATAATTACTTCTTTGACAATGAGGGATGTCATAATATCCGGAACTCGGGTATCGAGCTTTTGAAACACCCATATATTCTTCAAAAGTGAGGATTTTTAGTGAATTTGGTGTAACGAGATGGATACCCTATCGCCCAGAGTTGAGGATTTTGAGTGACTTTCGTGTAATAAGACGGATACTCAATTCTCAGATAGTGAGGACTTTGAATGAGTTTGAAACAACGATGTGACAATGATGCAAAGTACGTTTGCATCATTCTACAATA